ATGTCTTTCTTCTATTGGTACTTTTGGGATTGAGAACATTAGTGAGGACAACCGACTGCAAATAGAATCAAGATTACGGAATCTCTTGATAAAATATGAGAACAATACACTAAATAGTAAGCAAAGATGGATAGTGGATAGCAGTGGAATCCAGTTTGACGCGCGTTTCGTCCTATTTGGGACTCGTCAGCTGGATATACCTCCATCTCAGAGTTGATGTTCACTCTGAGACTCAAACCCAGTACCTTTCGCTTCAAACGCCATCACGTTATCCACTCAGCTACTGAGTCCTGATAGCTAATTGCTTGTGCAATATGTTATCAAGTTGGATTAATGCCTTATCATTTAAATATTTTCTTTTAAACTAACATTATCATTTACAATGACGACGAATTTAATCTAATGGAATTATAGTATAGAGATCAAAACTCAACGATTCTTCACCTATCTTAGTGATTTCAATGGTTTTCATCTGTTTTCTAATCTTAACATTCTTATAATATTATTTTAGTGAACAAGAACACGGCTGGGGACAATCGAATGTATTCTAGCACAACATTACAGTTAACTTGCAAACTATCAATCAATTGTCTCAATCATGATCATTCCTTATTCAAATATCAATCCATAGTCTCCGATTATTATTATTGTTCATGCATTTTCATACCGATTGCGGGCCATTCTCATTCTCTCCTAAACGATCTTCTACTGAAATACATTCAATTCCCCACCATCACCATATACTACTTATGTGGATATCAGTAACCCACATTACACTATCAAAGTGTATATTTACTCAAGTTAAAAGGTTTCTTTTCTAAATGTTTCTTATAGCTGTAATTAGTTGTTTTTTTTCTTCTTCTTTGAAGTCCATCATTATTGAAGATCTTACAGGAATGAAATTATAAGAGAACCATTGTAAGAATTATAGTTGATAGGAAGAAATCTTGGATGACATTTGATCATCTTTTTCAGCATTCCCTATTTCATTAACTTACTTATTGTTTAGTGGAACATTATGAAAACGCTGGCTTGTTCTTTCAACGGATTTACTACAAACAAAGTGAACTGAAACGATATTTGATTGAAATCTATCTTATATGGTTGAGATCATGAGTCAATTGTAGCTAGACCACCATGGAAAACCTGGAAGAACTGGACCGCCGTTTCGCCCTAGCGTCGAACTCCTCAGCAGTGCGAACCCACGATCCCACCATGCGAGATTCAAACGCAGGACCTATCAGTCTCGCGCGCGAACACTTTACCGATAGACCACTGAGCCGGCATTCAACTATGTTAATGATGTCTAATTTCAACCAATCCACGAGGTTGAGCAACCATTCACCAATGTCTTCAGTGAGTTACTATCTCACAACAGACCTTGTTGAACTTCAGTGGTCACTGTTTTTCACTAGAACTCCAGGAAATACCTCATGGAGCCAGTCACTAATGAGCATATGATTATTATCAGAAGGGGCTTTTGTTACAATTTTGTTAATTTAATATAGTTGCGATCATGGGTCAATTGAAGCTAAACCACCATGGAGAATCTGGAAGCACTGGATGGCCGTTTCGTCTTATTGAAAAGTAAGCATTTATTAAATTTAACACTATCATTTTTACTCTATAATCGTAAAATAATATATATTTGTATGGAGGAATCCAGAACGTACGTTTCGTCCTATTTGGGACTTGTTAGCCAGATGTACCTATATCCCATAGTTGATGTTCACTCCGGGACTCGAAACCAGTGCCGTTTGCTTCAAGCAAACAATACCAAGTAAATTAAGAAATATATATATTCCGTAACAGTTCTAAATTATCTAAGTACTGTACAATAGTATATCCTGTAACTCATTTTGTGTTAGAAGTCATTCATTTATAAAATTCTCAATTCTTATTTACTCGTCCGTTGACGAGACTACAATTTATAGACAAACCAATCAGGTATACGTTTGTAGTGTCGTATGTCATGTTAAGCCCATATACTTTACTCTAGCTTCTTGCCAAGCTAATTCGCCTGTCCATTATGAGTCAAATTTTGATCTTGTTAATTATTCGCTTAATAACCTTGACTACTTTTTCATATGAGCGCATGTGTATGCACACTTCGTATCTTATTCATCATATGTCTGTCATTTATTTTTGTCTGACTATAAATGTTGATTAACACTTGCTTAAAATGAGTTGGCTTCCCCGCCATCTCCAATACGCATTATTTTCGTTTCGCACTTGAGTTGGCTTACCAGCCATCTCCAAAATGCGCATCATTTTTGTTCCGCTCTCATCTATTTGTTTCATCACTCTGATTCCCTGGCCAGACCAATGAGTGTAGAAATTATATGTATTCTAAAGTCATTCTCGTATTTGACGTATTTAACTCCGTTATTCACCAACGCGGATAAAGTTATTTATTACATACGACGATAGACAGTACGTACGATCAAAAAGGAATCAGATTTAGGCCAGAACAAGTTAATAGGTCATGAATTTTGACACAAAATTCATTCGTCTATTTAGCTAAATATCATTTTTTCATTATAGCTGATGTCAGTTCGAGATTAAAACTCTAATTCCTTACCTTAACTATCAACTGTAAATCCTGATCTTAATTTCTCATACTAATCTATGCCTTATATAACTTTAGTAAGTAAATAGATATTTTCATAGTTGAAATCATGAGTCAATTGAAGCTAGACCACCAAGGAAAACCTGGAAGCACTGAATGGCCGTTTCGTCCTATTGTGGGACTCCTCAGCTGAAATCTCCACAAAACCCCTTCTGAATAAATGGACATTCTCAATGTCACTTTAACGTCGTATAAAAGTCATCCATAAATTATAATTTCACTATTTAAGAAATTTTACACAAAGGCAGTGAGTCAGTCAGCTACAACGTGGAATCAGGCACTTATGCATCGGTCCAAGTTGCCATACTTCATCAGCACAACTAGATGAACACCGGATTCATAGCAGCAGTTAATTTAGTGATGGTAGTATATAAAATAAGGCTTGTATATAAGGATAAACTTCAGGAAGACATATGAAGCAATTTTATTCTCAAGGTTTAAGGGAAGATAAAAAGTGTATACACCTACGTCATTGTGATCGATTCTGAACCATATCACCCACAGTCTCCAACCATTGGTTACGATAGTCACGCAGACCCCAACCAAGTAGTCTGCAGCTACCAACATGGTTCAGACTAGAAGTTCGTGACTTCAAATACTGATGCTGCGTTTTGGTTTGGCTGCCACTAACTTTCTTCCAACCATCCTCAATACTAGTCAGCATAGCGCGTCGTGGTAATCGGTGTTCAGGCATACGTAACACATAACCCAACCATCTCAGTCGATGAATATTCATAACTTAATCAACGGATTTATCATCATTTCCTAATACTATGTGTCTAATGTCACTAATCTCACTTTACTCAATGGAATATTGATATATTCAAGATCACTCTAATAACATTTTGTATGTGTATGTGTGTGTGTGTTTGTCGGTGAATACTCTTCGTTTGAAAAAACTTCTTTATGAAAATAACATGTTATTATAATCCAATAATAACAAACTATAATATGGTAGAGAAGATTTGTAGTTCATGTAGGTGATTTTGATAGAGTTTTGTTCTCTGAGCTGGATGGTTTGTTGATAGAGCTTTCATCATTCTTCTGAACGACATCATCAGCATAAACTTCGAGTAGAATTGATACACATGTGGAGAAACTCAAACCCTTCATTTCTACTCAAAGTTTGTACTGATGATATCATTCAGAAGGATGATGAAAGTTCCACGACCAAATCATTCAGCTCAGAAAATAAAATTTCATCAACAATAACATACTATACTGTAACTAATTCAATATAACAATTTTGTATACAATAGATAACATTTCGTTGGAAAAAAAAATGAACATTGAACCAAGTTATAATTATGAATGATAATACTTTTGTTTTAATGACATAGATGGAAAAAGAAAGGAAGGGAAAGTTTTGATATGGAACATCAAAGAAACATCATTCAATGGATGGTAAGTAAATGTATCAATGTTTGTTTCTATGTGTTTGAGTATGGTTTTTATTGATTGTATTAGTAATAATAATAATAATGGTAATAATAATGTTACCAATTTAGTTTGACGTAAAGATGATGATATTTAAGTATGCAATTTAAGGGCTAAACAATATCATTGTTTTCCCATAGCAACAAGATTTTTTAAGAAGGAGAATAAGAATGGATCGATTGATTGGTTGATTGATTGAATATAATCAACTTATATGCATTAATAAGTAATTATAACTATCTACTCAATCAAATTTGATTGGGAAACTGTAGAAGTGGGGTAAAAAAATGTTACGTATTTGTGTAGAACTATATTTCAAGAAAGAAAATAAGCAAGGATTGTTTTATTGATTGATATAGAATGAATGAATGATCAATTTGTTCATGAATATCATCATCTCAAATGCATTAATAACTGATTATAACATCAGCTCAATCATTTTTCATTAGGTAACTCTAAAAGAGGAATAAACTGGTATGTAACTGGATAGGATTATGTTTGAATAAAGAAGTTAAAGAGAGATTGATTGATTGTCAAAGAATGCATGAATAGATGAATGATCGATCTGTTCAGTAATATAATCATCTCAAATGCATTAATATCTGATCATAATATTAAGTCGATCACATTTGATTGAGTAACTGTAGAAGAGGGTTAAAATGTTACGTAACTAAGTCGGATTATATTTCAAGAAAGAAAATGAAGAGAGGTTGATTGATTCTCATAGAATGAATGACTGATGGGTGTGTTCATGAATATAATCATTTCAAATACAATAATAACTAATCATAACATGATGTGAATCACATTTGATTGAGAATCTCCAGAAGAAGGGTAAACTGTTACGTAACTTTGTGGGTGGGGTGGGGTGGGGTGGGGGGATAGTTTCATCATGTTTCAAGAAAGAAGATCCTTTAATGAATAGGTAATCCTTTCAAATTTGATTAACAATAATTAAGAAATAACACCAATAAAAACAATTATATAATACAAAACATGCTGGAAATAAAAATCTACTATATGTATCAATTTCTGATTCAATTAATCCAGGTGGACGTTTAGGTCTTAATTTCTCTTTATTTTGATTATAAGTAGTATTATTAGTATTAGTATTAGTAGTATTTGTATTATCAATGAATTGATTTGTTAATAAATATTCTAATTCTTCACGAAATTCTAATTGTCCCCTATTTAAATGATGTGAATTTTGTAATTGTATTAATTGTTGTTGTTGACATATAGTACACCAACGTGTTAATTCATCTCTAACAATTTCTTTAACATCTTCATGCCATGTTTCACATTGTTTACGTCTTAATATAGTTAATGCTATAGCATATTCAACTAATACACCTATAACAAATATAATAGAAAATATCATCCATATATCAATTGCTTTAATATATGATACTCTTGGTAATGTAGATGATACACTTATAGCTTGAGTTAATATACCAAGTAAACTTAATAAACCTAATGGTACACGTGCTGGTGCTGAATCTACATTTACCCAAAAACTTAACCATGATACCATAATAATTAATACATTTGGTATATATGTTGTTGCTAAATAACTACCTAATTGTCTTTGTAATTCAAATGTTGCATTTAAACATGTATATTGTCCGGTGGATGTTGAATATCCCGATGAACAATCATTTGTAATGAATTCCTTCGGAGTCTCAAATTCTGACAGTTGTAATTTTTCAGCTAATTCAACTGGTTTATTATTATTCCATACAAATTTTAATTCATTTAATGTATAACCATAACTACCAATATTAATATGACAATGTTGATTATCCATAGGAAATGTTTGTAAATGCATTTGACATGAAAATCTCATTGTTATTTTTTGACTATATAATACATTACCATTTGGATGTACACGTAATAAATAATTAGGTAATGTTAATTTATGTAAATAACCATCTTTACCATTACGAAAAAATAAATCAGGTAACCATAATTGTTCTTTTAATTTAGGTGAAACTAATGGTTCATTAAATTGTGAATATTCTGGTATATCATACCATGATAAACGACGATCACGCCATACTTGTCTTAATAATAAATCAATATAATAATCCATTGTACGTACATCAATAGAAAATATAGCTAATACTTTCATATTTACAGTAACTATAGTAGCATTACCACCATCTGGTGGACGTTCATAACTACGATATTTTGACATAATTAAATTAACTATACGATCTCTCATTGATGTTTTTGAATAAATTTCATCTTGTAATTTAGTTTGTTGATTAAAATCAGTTAAATTGGTGATATTCATTAAATGATTATTAATTGGTATTGATGACGGCAACGATGATGACGAGGATGATGATGATGATGATCGATAATTTGGTTGATTCGAATGATCATGTTTAAGATCTTGTGGAATATTTGGATCTTGAATTTGTTGATAGGGTATATTTGGTTGATTTCTTATATTATATGATGGATGAATATTAGGATTAGATGGTATATTATTACATTGAATAAAGAATAATTTAATTGCTAAGAGAAATATCAACAATATAAAATTAATAAATGGTGTATGCAACATCATGAGTATAGATATATATATAAAGGTTACTTTATTTTCAACTATTATACATTAAACTCAATCAATGTCATTATAATGATGATACATTTTATCCTCATGGAAACAGTACTTGGAAACTATTGAAGAAATAATGCCTACACAATCAATATATATCTAGATGTATATGGATATATATACAGGTATGTCCATATGCACACACACACACACTTAGGGATATGTATATCTATCAGTAAGGTATTCTTTACATTTGAGTAGATAGAACTATATATATTATTATTATTATTATTATATTAGATAGGTAGGAAAATAGGTAAACATCACCAGGTAACAAAAAAAGGAAGTTTAATCCATCCATAGTAACCAATCAAATTTCAGTAAAAAATATCTGACTGCCTGATATTGGTTATTTATTAGAAAATAAATAATCATCATAAATATTAACCAATGAAAAAATCATTTACTCAATTGGTTTTGTTTTCTTTTTTCCTCTTTTTTTCTTTTTTTTTCAGGTATCAAATGAAAATTGATTGATTAGAGAAGAGAGAGAAAACAAGTTAATTATATACTTACTAGTGACTGACTTGGAGAGATGAATCCAGGAGTTCTAATGAGAAGCAGTGATCACTGGTGTTCAACCAAGTCTGTTGTGGAGATATCAACTCATTTAAAACAATTGGTGAACGGTTTCTCAACTTCATGGATTCCGGCCGGCTCAGTGGTCTATCGGTTAGGTGCTCGCGCACGAGACTGATAGGTCCTGGGTTCGAATCTCGCTACACAGGATCGTGGATGCGCACTGCTGAGGAGTCTCACAATAAGACGAAACGGCCTTAAAGCAGTGCTTCCAGGTTTTCCCTGGTGGTCTAGCTTCAATTGACTCATGATTTCAAGTATGAAAATACTAAATCTCCACAAAAACCCTTTCTGATAATTATTTGTTGTAGAACTTTAGAAGAGATGGAAAGTTTCATGTATCTAAGAGGTATTATTAATGAATAAGAAGGATGTGATGAAGATATAAAGGTAAGGATTGACATAGCAAGGACAACATTCCTATAATTGAAGAACATATGCAACTCAAAACAACTGTCTGTCAACCAACATCCAAGTCACAATCTTCAATACAAACGTCAAGACAGTTCTATTGTAAGGAGTTGAAACTTCGAAAACTACTACAACTATTATCAAAATATTACAAATATTTATAAACAATTGTCTATACAAGATATTGAATGTCCGTTGGTCGGATATCATCAACAACAGCCTATTGTGTGAGTGAACAAACCAACTTTCATCTGAAAAAGTAATTAAGAAGAGACATTGGAGGTGGATAGGGAAAGCAATGAGGAAATCATCAAACTGTATCACGAAGCAAGTCGTAACTTGGAATCGTGAAGGAAAAAGAAAAAAAGAAGAAGGCCAGAGAACATACTGCATCGTGAACTGGAAACAAATATGAAAAGGATGAACAGGAACTGAAAGTGATTTGAGAGGATTGCCTAGGACAGAGTTGGATGGAGGATGCTGTTGGTTGGCCTATGCTCCTTCATGAGGGGTAATAGGCATAAGTTATTAAGTTGTCTTGATCTTGTAAAAATACCACAATAATTATGGACTCATAACTGTAGAGTCTGATGACCTAATAGTTGCTAGCATCAATTGTTTCTCCAAATATTCTTTGTTTTTGAATATTCTGTAAGGATTTCTAAATAAGTGACTGTAAAAAGAATGACTTGCCCAACAATGAATAACAAGGTGTATATTGTTTTGAATGTAGATGATTTTTAAGATATAAATCTTGACAGGCTTTTATAAACGTTATAGGTGACAAGCAAAGATGGATAGTGGCTAGCAGTGTAATCCAGTTTGACGCTCGTTTCCTGCTATTTGGGACTCGTGAGCTGGATGTACCTGCATCTCAGAGTTGATGTTTACTCTGGGACTCGAACCCAGTACCTTTCGCTCCATCTTTGCTTATAATGCTAGTGAATTAAGGCCATATCAAGGCAATATGCACATATGCCAATAAGCGAGAGACTGATCAATTGCATTCCTAAGGATCAATGGGAAGATTTGTGGGAGCCATATCAACTAGAAGGCCTTAACTTGAAAGTCAGTTTTTGTTTATATTTACTATTTACCTTAACTACATCTTCTTGATTAGTTATAAAGAATAGAATAGTTGAAAGCATCAACCATCTCATTTATCTTGGAATTCATATCAGCCCTGATTATTATAGTCAAATAAATAATTACTCTCAGGATGAGTTCCCAAATCTCGACTTCAGTCAAAACGTATCAAGTTCGACATCACAAAATCTGACTATACTGATATCAAGATTTTACACTGTTGTATTCAGATAGAAAATATGAGAAGAACGCATATAAGTCAAGAAAGAATAGTTCTTTCATTTTAATGATTAACTACATCAAACTACAAAACATAAAATATCCGGTTTACTTTGGTGAAACAAATCCCTTCAATGCATTGAAGTAATCATTATGTGACCTTCATTACATGTACATAGCATAGTTGAAACTACTTGAAAAAGGCGAGTAGTGTGTAGATTAGTTAGTGTAGATCAGTTAGTTGAACATCTTTACTTTTCGCCTGTTACTCCCAATGGAGCATAGGCCACCGACCAGCATTCTCCAACCCACTCTGTCCTGGGCCTTCGTTTCTAGTTCTATCCAGTTCTTGTTCATTCTTCTCATGTCTGTCTCTATTTCTCGGCGTAATGTGTTCTTTGGTCTTTTTATTCTCCTTTGACCTTCAGGATTCCATGTGAGGGCTTGTCTTGTGACGCAATCGGGTGATTTCCTCAAAGTGTGCCCAATCCACTTCCAGCGCTTCCTCCTGATTTCTTCCTTCGCTGGAATCTGATTTGTTGTCTCCCACAGTAACTTGTTGCTGATAGTGTCTGGCCATCTGATCCGAAGTATCTTGCGTAGACAACTGTTAATAAACACTTGTATCTTCTGGTTGATCGCCTTCGTAGTTCTCCACGTCTCCGCCCCATACAATAGAACTGTCTTGACATTTGTATTGAAAATTCTGATATTGGTATTGGTTGACAATTGTTTTGAGCTCCAGATGTTTTTCAGTTGTAGGTATGCTGCTCTTGCTTCGCCGATCCTCGCCCTCACATCTGCATCTGATCCACCGTGTTCATCAATGATGCTGCCCAGATATGTAAAGGTTTCCACATCCTCCAAAGCTTCTCATTCAAGTGTAATTTGATTGGTGCATATTGTATTGTATCGGAGAGTCTTGCTTTTCCCTTTGTGAGTTTTGAGACCTACTGCTGCTGAGGCTGCTGCTACACTGGTCGTTTTCTCCTGCATTTGTTGTTGCGTTTGTGATAGAAGAGCCAGATCATCCGCGAAGTCTAAATCGTCAAGCTGCATCCTGCCTGTCCACTGTATCCCGTGCATTCCTCCAGATGTTGACGTCTTCATGAATTAGTCGTAGTAGTTAGTTGAACATGTTTAACTGTTATATGATTGATTCACTGAATCTACAAAATTATCTTCATTCATGAACATCAGTTAAAATATACACATAAGTACTATTAGGGTAATGATTGATTGAGTAGAACATTGGAGATTCAACTAATCTTCCTCAAGTTCAAACGCCATTCCACCTACTTTAGTTGGAACAGTCGATCAGTATCACTAACTAAATGCCAAGTACACGAATGTGAGTAATCAGTTAGTGAGTAGTAGTAGTTGCATTATAGTAGAATAAATCATTCACTCTCAATTGTTCTCTACTCATTTAATTATAATGTGAACAGCTTTGATGGATTGGTTAAAAATATTCTATCTCTATGCATCATCTTCAAGTAACCTGCTTAAAATGGTTTCGTTTTAATGTTAATACCTTCATCTTTATATAGCCATTTTCACTGTTTCTTTGTTGATTATTGGAATGCAATTTATTGGCAAGCAAGCAGAGATTGTAATCGTGCACTCATACACAAATGTACTACATATGCACATACCATTACTGATACAATTTCTCAAGTAGAATAATAAATTCTTTCCTGTTTAAAGTTTGTTTTGACTGAGTAGATAAACGGAAATGTATGGATGGTTTGTGTGTACGTGTTTTGCGATTACTGCATCAATGCTCAAAGACAATGTTATAAATGGAAAATCTTGTTGTATAGGTAGATTGACATATGTCATCCACAGGAGAGTTATAATATTATTTTGTTGTATCTGCTCTATTTTTCTTAGTCAAAATCATAAGTCAATTGAAGCTAAACCACCATGGAAAACCCGAAAGCACTGCTTTAAGGCCGTTTCGTCCTATTATGGGACTACTCAGCAGTGCGCACCCACGATCCCGCACTCACGGGATTCGAACCCAGGACCTATCAGTCTTGCGCTGGAGCACTTAAACAATAGACCACTGAGCCGGCATCCAACGGAGGTAATGTCTAGCTTCAACCAATCCACGATACTTGAGCGACCGTTCACCAACTGTCTTTAGTGAGTTGATATCTCTACAACAGACTTGGTTGAACTCCACTGGTCACTGCTTCTCATTAGAACTCCTGGATTCATCTCTCCAAGTAAGTCACTAGTGAGCATATGATTATAATCATAGGTTCGAATCTCGTGAGTGCGGAATCGTGTGTGCGCACTGGTGAGGAGTCCCATAATAGGACGAAATGGTCGTCCAGTGCTTTCAGGTTTTCCATGGTGGTCTAGCTTCAATTGACTCATGATTTCAACTATGAAAGATACTGACATCTCCACAAAACCCCTTCTGATCTTCTCTATTTACTTGTTCTTGCTTCCTATAGGACTGCTACTTCCTCTATTCATGCTGTATCAATCATTTCGAGTAAATGTTCCCTGATTATTTTTACACTTCATCATATGTTCATAAATGTTTTCCAATGACAAAATAATGTATTGAGAGATGATGAGTGGAAGTATGAGGAAACGAATATTCCTTTCCGCTTCTCCATCAAATTTGTTCATAATAATCA